TCAACTCCATGGGAAATCTGCTGAGACATTTATCACTGGAAGGGGAGTTGCCTTCAGGGTGTGACTGGCTTCCAGCATATATGGAGAAACTTCGGGAAGGTCTCTAGCTTTTTGGCACATCTGGATTGTGCATTTGGCAAGTCTTCATCTCTAGTTCCTGGACTTGAACCAGTGGCCTGCTGTGTTGCCTGCTAATCTTGGGATTGTGCCATTTTACCTGTCGACCTTGGGTTCATCGGCCTCAGTAGCCAGCAGTCAGCTGTGTGAGTCAGAGGAAGCCTCCAGCTCCCATGGGCCTGGAACAAGAGGCAGAGCTGAAGCCCAAGGTCAAGGGGCCTTCACCCAGCCCCTAGAGCTGGCACTTTGAATTTGGACTTCCAGCCTCCTAAACTTATATAAGAGGATAAATTCCTATTTGTTAAAGCCATCCACTTGTGGTATTTCTGTTAGAACAGCACTAGAGAACCAATACAATCACTATGAGTCATAATCAACTCAGTAGCACCGAACAACAATCTTTATGGAAGCAGTTTGCAGGCCTTTTTTCTGTAGAACCATCAAGTTAATACAAATTTTCAGCCTTTGGGTTAGCAGTTGATCACAAACCACTGTGCCACTACGTGTCCTCCCCTGACTACCAGTGACATTGACAATTTCACACTTGGGTTTCCTCTTCTATGAATTGCATGTTCATAACCTCTACCCATTTCTCCATTGAGTTATTTCCTGTTATCATCTGACTGTAGATTCTTTTGCATTGGAGTTTTTGACCCTTTATCATGTGTCTTAGTTCTCTAGTGCTGCTATAACAAGAAATAGCACAAGTAGATGGCTTTAACAAATTTATTTTCTCACAGTTTAGGAGGCTAGATGTCTGAATTCAGGGTATCAGCTCTTAAAAACAATAGCAAACTCATTGCCATCGAGTCCTAGTCATAGTGACCTCTCCTTGGGTTTCTGAGGCTGTATCTCTACGAAGTAGATTGCCAAGTCCTCCCAGCCTTCTGGTTAGCAGTCAAATGCCTTAGAGGCTTTCCCTCTCTGTCAACTCTGAGGAAGGTCCTTGTCTCTTTTTCTGTTTCCTGGTTCATTGAAGATCTCCATGTGACTTGGCATCAGTCTTCCCCCATCTCTTCTCTTTACATTCCTTAAATCCCTTTTTTATATCTCAAAAGAGATTGACTCAAAATATACCCTACACTAATCCTGACCATTAACATAACAAAGACAACCCATTCCCAAATGGGATTATAACCATAGGCATGTTGTTGTTGTTATGTGCCCTCAGTCAAGTCTGACTGACTCATAGCAACCCCTCCTTGGGTTTCCGAGGCAGTATCACTACAGAAGTAGATTGCCCCATCTTCCTTCCGAGGAGTGACTGGTGGGTATGAACCACCAGCCTTCTGGTTAGCAGTCAAGTGCCTTAGGCACTACGCTACCAGAGATCCCAACCATAGGCAGAGAGGTTAGGATTTTCACAAATCAGTCCATAACATCTTGGTTTACATTTTTTTTTCCTAGATGATCATTTTGTCTCTTCCTTATTTTCTTTTAAACATTCACCAAAAAGATAGCATATGTGCTATGCTGCCTAAATGTCTTGTGAAGGTTCCCAGCAATTTTGTGAACTCTAGACATTAACCTGTAGATCCATCTTGCTTCTGTAATCACTGGCACTTTATCTTTTCCTAAGCAAGCAATAGCAGGTTTCAGCAAGATTTTGTTGCAACTAAAATAAAACTTGAGAGGGCTGAGATGACTCCCTGCACCACCCTGAGATTCTCCCCTGCCTTCACAGTGAGTAGTGACTACTAGGCAATTGGTCCACCCTACAGATTTCTAAATTCTTTTCCACAGATGTCTAAGATGCACACTTGGAGGCACTTCCAGCCCATTGCACATCTGTATAATTGTCTTGGACACCACTTGTATCAGCCAGCATCTTTAAAAAAAAAAAAAAAAAAACTGGAAAGCACATGTTTATCAACACTTAAACTCCCTTTACACAGGCCATATATTCTTGGCACTTTTTCCTATATGTATTCTACCTGGTGGATAACTTTTTATAATACAGCAATGAAAATGTGGCATATCTGTTAAATACAAATATTCATTTTCTAATCAAATACTTGACAAGATCACAATAAATATGTATCAGGCTAATTGGCACAGAATGCTCTTTTCTTTAAGAAGCACATGATCTAAGGATCAACAGCTCAGTTGCTGACGTTCAGTGTTTCCATGCTGTAGTGTTTATCTTTCTGCTTTGATCATACTTACACAGAACCCTTAAGGGTTCAGAAATTCAGTAAAGGCCAGACACATATTAGTTGAGCTGCTGAAATAAATCCTTTTTTTTTTTTTTTAATTGTGATTTGGGTGAAGATTTACAGAGCAAATTCACTTTCCATACAGCAGTTCACATATACTTTGTCTCATGTCATTGACCACAGTTTACCACAATGCAACAGCCCCCCTCCCACTTCCTCCTCATAGTTACCTCTTCCCAGTGTCCATCCCTCCATAGACTCCTGCCCCCTAAGCTGTCTCCCTGTGCATAGGCAGCTCTTTTTTCTCCCATGATTGTTTTCTTCAAGGAGTGTATCTACTTGAGGTAAATGTTTAACTCATATGCCTGTATTTTGTTTGGCTGGAAATCACAGGTGTGGGTTCAATTCCAGACCTGAAGGGCAGCTAGGAGCCATAGTCTCAGTGGTTCCACCAGGCTCTATCAGACCAGCAAACCTGGTCCCCACCTATTTTTTTTTTTTCTTCTCCAAATGATTTTGAGTTTAGTTCTACGTTGTTCTCCCTCTCTATCCAGGATCTCCTACATAGATCCCCTTCCAAGTGGATGGCAGTGGTAGCCGGACACCATCTAGTTCTTCTGGTCTCACAGTCGTATAGGCTGCAGATCAGATGGTGCACCAGTTGCTAGGACTAATTGTTTCCATTAATTTTGGTTTTCTTCATTCTTCTTTGCTCTGGACGAGGAGAGACCCATCATTGCATGTAGATGGCAGCTTGCTAGCTTTTAAGATCCCAGTCACTACTTGCCAAAGTAGGAGGTGGAACAATGTTTTGTATAGTATGTGAAACAAATTCTTATATCAAATTATTATTAAAAATCACTTTAAAATAACTCTTTCAAAGCTGCACTAACATTAACTGTTCCTGTGAGCATCTTGGAAAACTGAAAGGGTTGCTTACTGAGTACTTGTCTGTGTCCATGACATTCATGTGAGAAACACACTGAATTACCTAGTTTTCTCTAATAGCAGCAATATAGCATAATCCCGAGGAGGGGAAAAATATAACAGGCATTCCAAATCTGTAATACTAGGTATTTGTGTAGGACTTGGCCTAGATCACACGCGCTTTCAGAGTCCCAACCCTGGTGTCATAAAGCAGAGAAAACAGAAGGGGTTTGAAGCCGAGTTACAACAGCTAAGTAACAGCACATGGTGGGAATGGGTCTGATCTCACACTGGAGAAGCAACACTGAGAGTGTAAATAGTATATATACTGTAATCATTGTTAACTCAAGATTTGCTTTACTACAGAAGAAAATGAAAAAATCCTTTGGGGGCCTATAAACCCTTTTTTGAAATTTCACAAGTACTAACAATAAACATTTACTTTCCTCCTGAAGGAGGCCTGGGATGGAATTTACTCCACATATCCATTTTTTTTAAGCCACCATTACCAAAAGCAAGAGTTCCCAGGTAGTGCAAATTGTTAACTCACTCAGCTACTAACCAAAAGGCTGCAAGTTTGAGTCCACTCTGAGGTGCCTTGGCAGAAAGGCCAGGAGATCAATTTCCAAAAAAATGGCCATTGAAAACCCTATGTATGTTCTGCCCTATATATTCTCAACAACAAATATATTTTAAAAAAAAAAAAAAAAAACCCCTTATAGAGCACAGTTCTACTCTGACAAACACACAGTTGCCGTGAGTTGGAGTCAACTCGTGGGGAAAAAAAGCCTGAAAATGTTTGTATCCTGTGACTCAGCAATTCAACTTCTAGAAATTTATGCTAAATGCATGTGCATGGAGACTTAATAGGTAAATTTCCTTTTTCTGTATATGTTTATATATTTTCCAAAGTTTATATATAATGAAGTTTGCTTTTTCAAATGAGGGAGAAAATTAGGACAGTGGTCACTATTATTGGCCTTGAACCACGGAAACTGAATTTCTTAACCCATCCTGCTGAGTCTCGCCTTACTGCAAAAGGATGGGCATCATGTTTTATCACAAAAACAGTAACAGCAGCACATGTGACAGGCGTTTTATTAGCTCTTAAGATTTTGGTAAATTAATCCTTAACCCTCAAAGAGAAAGTAATGGTATTGGCTTTGGGTACTGCTTACTCTTCCACCAATAAGGCTGTTGTAGGAAGAGTCCCCTGATCTCCCACACAAGGTCCAAAGCATCATACCTAGCATTGGTGACACAGTCTGTCAGTCAGACACGTTGTTGTGTGCCGTCGAGTCAGACCCAACTCATAGCGACCCCTCCTTGGGTTGCCAAGGCAGTATATCACTATGGAAGTAGATTGCCCCATCTTCCTTCTGAGGAGTAGCTGGTGGGTTTGAACCGCCAGCCTTCTGGTTAGCAGTCAAGTGCCTTAGGCACTATGCTACCAGAGCTCCTTCAGTCAGACATAGCAGGTAAGAAAAGGCCTGATCCTAGCAGCAGTTTGTAAGGGTATGAGGAATGACAGCCAGGGGCAGGAAAGTATGGCAATGTGGTCTCCAAATACGCAGAAAATGCATGAATTTATAACATACAAGCTTACAGGGAAACTGGAAGGAAGAAATGAGAGGATCTATATTTTGAAAAGGAGCTATTTTGAAAAGTATCCAGAAAGGGTAGTACGTGAATAGGTGCTGGGCTTCACATCTGATGTACACCCCCTGTACAGTTCTAGGAATGTAGCCACTTCCAAATCGATGATTCAGTGCAGAGAACTGAGACTTTTTCTTTTTGCAGGTAAAAAGGGGTCACTATGGAGTTCAAAGGACGGAGCTCTTGCCTGGTGACCGGGACAACCTGGCCATTCAGACCCGGGGTGGCCCAGAAAAGCATGAAGTAACCGGCTGGGTGCTGGTGAGTACCCACAGCTGGCGAGGATGAGACAGGCGTCCAGTGTACTGCCATCCTAGAAGTTGTTCTTCCCATCCCTTTGGAACGCCCCATCCACAGGCTGAAGCTCCTCTTTCAAAAGGAACTAAAGGAAGAGCTGAGGTTTACTGGATGCTTTGGAAACCATCAGTGAATAAACAGGAAGTCCCTAAGATTTCAAAGCAAAATCCTCACAGGGAAGTAGATGACCCAAGCCTTATTTAGCTTTATCAATTGTTAACAGATATTTTACTTGACCTTTGCTACTCACAGATAGTACTCAGATCTCATGCTCTACACCAAGTTCTCCCTCAAACCTATGTGCACCTGTCTAGTTTTTCAGCTATGCAGTGTGATCAAAAGTTATGACATTTTCTCAGAGTATTAATTGTCCAGACAGACCAAATAGGATAGCTTTAGAATAGCTTTATCTAAGTCTCTTAGCACAAAGACTTGTACTATGACTTCCGCTACATCTTACGAAACGTATGAAATAATGACCCAGTTGAAGGTACTGGGAAAATAAGAGATGAGCACCAGAGAGGAACTAAAATTCTTTCTCTTTTGTAGGTATCTCCTCTAAGCAAAGATGACGCTGGAGAATATGAGTGCCATGCATCCAATTCCCAAGGACAGGCTTCAGCATCAGCAAAAATTACAGTAGTTGATGCCTTACAGGAAATACCAGTGAAAAAAGGTATGAGGCAAATCCCATAGCCATTTAAAAATGCCTAGTGTTTTTGCTTGGGAGCTCTTGTGGCATACTGCCTAAGGCATTTGACTGCTAACTAGAAGGCTGGCAGTTCAAACCCACCAGCCACTCCTCAGAAGGGAGGCTGGGCACTCTACTTTCGTAGTGATACCACCTCAAACCTAAGGAGGGGTTGCTATGAGTCGTATCCAACTTGATGGCAGTGAGTTTGGTTTTTTGGTTGTTTTTGCTTAGTAAAGACCAAGTCTGAAAGTACCAGACATAGCATTAATTAATTTCTGTAATGTTAGCAATCCACATGGCATTAAGTGTGCCATCAGAGTTTAGAGCACATGACTCTAAAAGAAGATTTGGATGGATAACACAGTGCCACTGTTGTGACTGACATGCTGTCACCTTCTCTCACACGTTAAGATTCAAAACTTGAAGTTGATGCATTGTGGTAAACTGTGGTCAATGACATGAGACAAAGTATATGTGAACTGCTGTATAGAAAGTGAATTTTCTCTGTAAATCTTCACCCATATCACAATTAAAAACAAGAAAACTTGAACTTGACTGGAAAAGCTTATATTTCGCATAACTTTCTATCTATCCACATGTCATTTTTCCTTTATGTTGTGACTACTATACTGAATTCTCATTTATAAGGAAATGTTTGTGGGTAATTCCAGCCCCTCATGCTGGGCTTTCTGTAAGAAAAAAAGAGAGGAGAGAGTACATGGGCAAGTACCCAACTCTGTTCTGCCTCCACTTCACAGCCAGAAAGCTTCCTCTTAAGCACACATCATGACAGTGCCCTAGTAACACTACTTTACATTCATATAGTTCCATTAGACTGATGTCTGAATTGGCTTTCACTTAACCCAGAAATAAGAAGCATTTGTCAGACTGTCCCACTGTGAGGATCACTCAGCTGTGATATAAAAGAAAGTATCAAGTAAAGATGTGCTAGGTCAGATTCTCTTCAGCCAAGATGTGTAAAGCTAGCAGATAAACAAGCAAGTTAGAGCAGTTGCTAAGGGCCGAGTCATGCCTCATCTTGAACGAGAGGCAGATGACACTGGAAAGTTACTTAGCCTTTCTGGGTCTCAACAAACTTGTCAAAGTGCTCTTCCAGTTTTATACAGTAAAACCTGGAAAAGCCAGAACCAGTGCTAAGAGAGAAGCCTGTCACAGAAGGTAACTCAAATATTTTCCACTGAAACAAGCAATAGAAAAGTGGTAAGACTGTACCCTGTCAAAGGCGAAAAACTTACGAGACTGGAAAAACAAGGCAGTCCAATCGAGTTCTGGTTCTCACAGGTTTCACTGTGTAAGGTCTGTCTCTTACACACAGATCAGAACAGCAAATTGATCTTCCACATCTAAACTCATAAAGCTCTGAAAACTACTACTGCACTCTCTCAGTCCAAAGCAGAGTGAAGAAAATCAAAAACACAAGGAAACAATTAGTCCAAAGGATTAATGGACCACGTGAACGCCAGCCACCATGACCCTGAGACCAGAAGAACTAGATGGTCCCTGGCTACCACTGCTTACCGCACTGAAAGGGATCACAATAGGAGGTCCTGGGCAGAGTGGGAGAAAAATGGAACAAAACTCAAAATCGTAAAGACAACCAAGCTTAGTGGTCTGACAGGGACTGGTGGAATCTCCAAGACCATGGTCCTTAGACACTCTTCAACCAGAAGAGTGGCTCACCTTTCAGCCAAATGATAGGCCAATAAGGTGAACAGTAACACCAGGGAGGTATGCACTCATTAGAACAATCAACCATATGAGATCAGAAGGGCAGCACCTGCCCAGGGAGAAAGCAAAGGCGGCAGGGACAGGAAAGGAGGAGGAAGGGAAATGGTAAACACGAAGTGGGAAGACAGGGTGCTGTTACATTGTGGGGACTGCAAGGAATGTCAGAAAACAAAATGTGTATGAAGTGTTGAGTGAAAAACCAATTTGCTCTGTAAACTTTCACCCAAATTACAATAAAAATAAAACGGCACCATAAAGCTCAAACTGCATAGAATACTCTAGCAAATCCTTTCTACTATTACTCATACATCCTTTATCTCCACATTTTAATATTTTCATCTGTTTGGAGACACAAAATTAAGAAGTCAATCATGTCCATGTAAGTAACTAACTTTCGTTTTTTTTTCTCTTTTTAACAGGTGAAGGTGCTGAGCTGTAAATCTGCAGAGCGTGTCAGTCTGTGTGGCCTACAGCAGTCTTGGAGCACTGCCACCCCCATCCTTATCTAATAACCAGTTTCTTTTAATGCAGTCCACTAATGCTTTAATTATATTCATTCACTGGTTTTACACAGAAAGTTACAAAATAAGGTAACACATAAAGAATATCTACAAAAATGTGTTTATTTACAAAACAAAGGAAGAAAAGCATGCATAGCATTTAAACAAATAAAATGCTTTTTTGCACAAATGCAGTACATATTTATTGTTTAAAACATCATATCATAGAAACAAGACACAAAAGATATTGACAAATGTCAAGAATTTTTTACAAGAGCTAAACACTCATCATTCGAGGTGCAATACTCATAGACATAAGCTCCTGAAACAATAGTTTGCACGCATAAGGCATTCGCACCAAGGAAATCTGAAAAGAAAAAGCAGATGGTAATTAGCAGAGCTATATTAAAGTGGCCTTACTACTCTACCCCAGGAAAAGGTTAAGAATCGGTTGTGCAGATGATGACTAAACGAGTGAGCTGTTAACACTTCATCCTGCCATCTTGGCTAATTATTCCTTCTTTCACCTAACAGCCTTTGTGCTAGGCATAAATTATATTCATCCTCCTCAATTAAAAGATTTAACAAACACTTGCTCTTTATAAACTCTTTGTACAGACCTTCCTGTTTCCAAAAGATGATCAAAAGAAAAAAAAAAAAACCCATTGCCACCAATTCGATTCCAGCTCATAGTGACCCTGTAAGACAGAGCAGAAATGCCTTCGTATTTCCAAGGCTGTAATCTTTAGGCAACCAGACTGCCACATCTTTCCCGTGGAGCAGCTGGTGGGTTCAAACTGCTAACCTTTTGTTTAGCAGCCAAGTTCATAACCACTGCCAAGTTCGTAACACTGCTCCATGTGGCAGTCTGCTTCCCTTAGAAATCCTATGGGGAGCTCTGTTCTATGAGTCAGAATCAATACCAATGGATAAAAGATGAAGAGTTTAGAGAAATGACCACTCTAAAACTTAAATAGGTTTTTCAAAAATTAAGTTTTATCTTTTTCATTTAAAACTAAGAATCTTTCAAAGGCATACTCTCAAAATTGTGAAATTATCTCTACATGGTGAAGAGAAAAGTGTAACAACTACTTAACGTGTGTTAGAAGATCCTCAAATGTAACAGATGCATCACTAGAATCTCAAGCATAGCATATTGTTTTCCTCATAAAATACAATGAAGTAGAGAGTAGAGGCTCACCATGCTAGCATTCAGCTTACTAGAATTCAACTCTGGGCTCAAAATGAATAATATGAAATAACCAATGTAAATATAGCAGCTTCTCAATGAGTAAGTCTCCCAGGCAATGAAGCCTGAAGCGAAAATGATGATCTGTTTCACCATACTAAATCTGCCTAGGTGGTCAGGCTAACATAGTTACATCCTAAACAAATACCAACTGCCAATAAAGGCTATACACACCTGAGTTTTATTGCGGCAGCCCCTGCATTCGTATGTATGGGTTCTGGTGTTAGCAATGGCCATTATTCCACAAAGGTTGCAAACATGAACCTGATATGGATCTGATGCCTCAAACAACCGTTCTCTTAAAAACTGGGCTGCTCCATGGGCGATCTGACAATCTCGTTCCATTTCTCCAAAACGCAGTCCACCATCACTGTGAAGGGAAAAACAGCAGATCACCTTGTGCTTATTTTCTATTATAAACATCACCTCACCTAATGGCAAAGGACCATATCATATAAGTCAAGGAGAATTAGACTAATTTTTATACCCTAGCATTCTCTCCACATCGTGGGGAGAAAAGTTCAACAACTATTTAATGTGTCAGAAGATCCTCAAATGTAGTAGATGCATATGAATCTCAAGCATAGCATATCATTTCCCTCATAACATACAATGAAGTACAGAGTAGAGGCTCAACATGCTAGGATTCAGCTTATTAGAATTCAACTCTGGGCTCAAAAATGAGTAATAAAATAACCGATCTAAACAGAGCAGCTTCTCAATGAATGAATCTCCCAGGCAACCAAGCCTGAAGCGATTAATGCATGTTAAGTAATGGAGAGAGCAGGTGACTGGTTAGAAGTTTCCCCGACACAGATGTGAAATGCTTTGTTCAAATGACCAGGCAAGTGGACAGTGATAGATTCCATGACATTCTTAATACACAAAAAACATCAAATACACATAAATCAGAGTTTATAATCATTTTATCAAAAAAAAAAAGCACTGATCACCTCTGGCAGATGCTAGAAAACCAACTCATTATTTTGAAAACTGGTAAATTAAGGGAAACAATCAAACATTTATCCTGCCCTTAGCTATACAAACCAAGTCACCAGGTAATCAAACAGTTGAGGAGGCAGTTTTCTCTAGCAGTATTCCAGCCAATAAAATAATGATAAAACTAGACTCTCACCAGTTTGCAATTCCTATTTTAATTAAAGGCCACAGGCAATAATCATTACCAGCAGCCAAAATCATAAAAAGAGAACAACCAGACAGGAAGCCCACAATACTACCTATGAAATATTACTGCCAAAAAAACTCAAATCTTAAATTTCATCACAGCTCTAGCTCTAATGATCCATTTACCAAAAAAAAAAAAAGAAAAAAAATGTTACAAAATAGCAAAGGAATGCAACCAACAAAATCCAGACTGTGATAAACCCTCTAAGACAGACAAGCCAGTTCTTCAACAAATAAATTATAAGGAGAAAAAAAGTTAAAGGGGAACCTATAGATTTAAAAAAAAGGTGGGGAGCTGAAGAGACCTGTATCGTTTACTTATGATGCATGGACCTATCGGCATCCTAATTAAAATCAACAAACCTTTTAAAAGTTTATGTGAGGACCAGGGAAATTTGAATACAGGATATTTATATTTATATAAAATGGGACTCTAGTTAGATTTTCTTTTTTAGAGTAGCAGTTCTCAAAGTGTGATCTGTGGACTCCCTAAGGGTCAAAACTACTTTTATAATATTATCACATTATTTGCCTTGTTCATTGTTACCATGTGCCCTGAGGGTGCAAAAGTAACTTAATAAAGCGCTGGCACCTTAGCAGAAATCAAGGCAGTGGAACCAAACTTTAGTACCAGTTACAGTCTCCACAGGCACACACTGGCAGGGAAGGACAAGAAAAGCCCTTGATGAGACAGTGAAGGATAACAGTTTTATTGACTCCTGCCCTGAGGACACATCTGTTTACCATTCCACGACAAAGCAGGGAGTTCCCAGGAACCATTCTACTGTGTACTTAAGTCAGATGCTGTCTTGAAGAAAAGCAAAAGCCAAACCAATCCCACTGCCATCGAGTTGATTCCGACTGATAGCAATCCTGTAGGACACAGGGGAACTGCCCCATAAAGTTTCCAAGCCTGTAAATCTTTAGGAAAGCAAATGGCCTCATCTTTCTCCTGCAGCGCAGCTGGTGGATTCCAACCATTGGCCGTTTGGTTAGCAGCCGAATGCTTTTAACCAGTACACCACCAGAGCTCATCTTGAGAAAAGGACTGAGTTAATTCTGAACTAGTAATTTCTCATGGACTGTATTTTTTACTTGAAAAAACAACTGACAAGCCAACTGTGGTGTATTTGGCTGACATTTTCTTGAAAATGAACAAAAGCCCTTCACTTCAAGGAAAACAATTTAAAGTATTCCTGATAAAGATAAAAATTTGGGCTTTCAGAGAGGCGGGGCAAGATGGCGGACTAGGCAGAAGGATTGCACAGACCCTCTTCAACAAAGAAAAGGGAAACCAATAAA